AGCCAGATAGGTACTGAATGAGGATGAGGATTTTGAAGTTGACTCGAAACCTGATAGGAAGCCAGTGCAAGGACTTGAAGACGGGTGTAATGCATCCCGATCAGGATGCTGGCTGTCAAATTCTGAACATATTGGAGATTGCTCAGTGTGAATTTAATTTCCCCAGTGAACAGGATGTGCATTTATTAATTCTAGGAAAAAAAGCCTTTCTTGATTTCTTTAGTTCCTAGCTTCTCTAGTTCCCTTGAAAATAAACTATTATTCCACAATGCTGAGTATTACATGGCCAGTATTTACATATGATATTTGTGATTTAAAGAAATTAACGCAAGCAGCTTTTGGGGATTTAAGTGTTGGCTGAGTTATTGCAGGATATAAGACTAGAGATGTTGGTAAGAAAAAGATAATTTGGGAAAAGTTTAAGAATATAGTGATAACAAGAACACTTCCTAAGGTTAGGCGTACTTTTGACGAAGATTATGAAGTTAACAGACTGTATGTTTACATACTGTAGATACTGAAATAAGGATTGTATTTTAGACTTTGTGTAGTTGCTAGCAAATGAATTGAAGGAATGGGCAAACATCGCTTATGCTGATCCACAGAGCCAGCATCTTAAGATGTTTGTATTTAGAAGCAATTTGTTTAAATAACTAACTAGGTATGGATACTAATGTGCAAGAGAGGTGGAAAGGCTGTTTCCTTAAGCCAGAACTATAAAATAATTTATCCTCAGTGAGATGCTGCCATCTCATAGTGGGTTTCTAACACTGTGTATAGTTCCATCCACACAGTGCCTTTACTTCCATCCATTTTCTAATCTGTTTATCCAGTACAGAGGATTTGGAGCCTATCCCAGTAAGCAATGAACGCAAGGCAGAATACACCCTGGACATAGTGCCAGTCCATCACAGGACAGACGACACAAACACACACACACCAGGGTCAGTTTTCCCATAAGCCAATTAACCTATCTGTATGTTTTGGAGTGCGAGAGGGAATCCTATCACACATATGGAGAAAAACCATGGAAGCCAGAGAGAACATGCAAACCCCACACACACAGGGCGTCAGGAATTGAACCTAGGGCCCAGTGCTTAGTTATCTTTCTAGTTCAGAGGTTTGCATTCATAATTTTATTTTGAAAGCCACTGAGACATCTGGTACTACTGCTGTATTTATAAAAAAGAAATAAAATAAAAAACATACTAACAACTGTGCCATCCTATTCCTTAGTTAATACATTTTATTTTTATAAACAGCTAACATTGTTAGCAAAATATTTTGAATTATATTTTACCCCATTTTTTCTTTAATTTTGTATTTAACTTATTTTATGATATCAGATTTAATGTATGTTTGAACAATAAAAATATATTTTTACAAGATGCGGGGAAAAGTTCAACAATTTATTACAGTGCTAAATTTAATATTATTGATTACTAATAGTTTATGCTAACACCTAACTTTCTTAATTAGATGTATTTAAAACAATGACCTAAGTGTAACATAACATTCAGTCATACAATCAAGAATAGTTTTGTGGTGTTTGTATAGATGAAACGTTTCTAAAATGTATAACAAAATTAAAGACGATTAATATCTGTAATCTTTCCACCTGTAATGTCATTAGAAAGTACAAACAGCTCCTGCTTTGTCTAAGGATGGTATCAAAAATTAGTCTAAGTGGTGAGAATGCTGTGCTTAATGATAATTAAGGGACTCAGAAGTCAAAGAAAATGATTTACCTTTACGTTGTTTAATTTTTAACACTAAGTTATGAATGCAGACGCAAATGGTACCACTCGCACTCCACGCTATAGAGCGGCCATTGTGTAAGACTGAGCTCCACACCTCCTCCCTCTCTCGGTGCCGCGCCCCTCTCTGACGGAGCGCAGTGGGCGGTACACTATTTTCAGAGCCTCTGATTGGGAAAAAAAGACCTGCTGATCAATTTCACACAACAGGAAGAGAAAAGAATGGGATTTTTTCTATTCGAAACCTGTATTGTCTTTATGAAATTTGTGTATTTTAAACGTTTAAGAAGTAAAAACCTTACAGCATACACAAAGATTCTTATCTGATCACGAGGAAGAAAAATCACCTGTTTTTTGCGCATAAAAAGTGGTTATTAACTATCGAAACCTGTTTTTATAGATTTTAAAGTTGTGCAATATGTAAGTTAAGCAGGAACACATCATTATATCTCATTTTTGATTTCTTTTAAAAAATATATATATATTTTGCCTAGCCTACAAGCAGCCCCTTTTGCTGTTACTTCGGTCATTTCCCTGCGAACTACGTATGTCAGCTGTGTGTGAAGACATCATGTGGCTATGTTATCTTTTGAGACCAGGTTTCCTGAGACGGATTTAGTAAAATATAAGTATAAAGATACATAGTTAACAATATATAATACAAACTTTTAGTAAAATCTTTTAGTTAATTCGCTCAGTCCCCCCTTTAGAAAATATTGCAATTAGCCAATTGTTTTCTAAATGTATCCTGTGATTACTGATGAATTCTTTATGGGTGAATTTCATGATTCTTTCTGCTGTCCTAAATGTGTGGTCAGGACTGAAGTAGTAGCTTTAATGCAGAGGGATTTAATACAAGTTCGAATGACAATAGTTATTAAAAACAGTACTACTCCTACTAGTATGTATTGCATCAGCATGGCCCCCCATGACCCGAATACAGGTAATAATGTGGTACTCTAAAGCTTAAATAACAACTCCCCTCCCATTTAGTAGGTAGCCAAGGGTATGCATTATTCTTTCGATTCCACCAGTTATCATTCTGTTTAACAGCAGGCAAATAAAAGCTGGAGAAGCTGGTATGTGTAACATCATAGTCCCTTAATCATTTACGGCAATTACATTCTGAAGTATTATTACAACCCTACCATCTTATATTACTTACTTATATTACAGTTTCAACAAAGCCCCCAAATAGTCCAATAAATTGTAAGGCATGGGCATGAGAGGAAACCCCCCTCTCATAAACTTGGGACTAAACACACCCATCATGAACTCTTGTTAAAGTCTTTTTTATCCAAACCCACTCTACTCTTTCAGCGGGCAGTCCCCAGGATCTCGACACCTGCTTCCTGGCACCTTGTACTACTTCTGTCAATACTGCAACATACAATCGGTTAATAGACTCAAAGTCCCTTTGGATAAGTCTGGTGTGTCTGGTAGCCTCACTGGATGTCCAGTGATCACCTCAAATGACCAGTCTTTTTTTTTTGGCACTGCCCCACACCATTTTCACCCAAAC